ATCCCACTGAAGCTGGCACATAAAAATAACCATCATAATTGGTCTTTATCAAAATTAAAAATGTTTCTGCTTCAAAGGCACTATCAAGAAAGTTAAAAGACAACACATGGAATGAAATAAAATATTTGAAAGTTATTTATACAATTAGGGACTTGTGTCTAGAATATATAAAGAACTTCTACAACTCAATCATAAAAAGAGCACCAAATTTAAAAATAGGCAAAAGATTCAAATGGCATTTCTTCAAAGATATAGAAATGACCAATAATGCCATTAAAAAGGTTCAACATCATTTGTCCTTAGGAAAACACACCTTAAAACCACAATGAGATTCCACTTTACACCCATTAGGGTGGCTACAATCAAAAAGAGATGTAATAAGTAATATTGGCCAAGACATAGAGAAATCAGAACCCTCACAAACTGCTGATGGGGATTTGAAAAATGATGCAGTTATTTTGGAAAACATTCTGGCACTTCCTTAGAAAGTTAAACATGAAATTGTTATTTGATCCAGCAATTCCATTCCTAGCTATATACTTAAGAGTAATAAAAACATATATCCACACAAACACTTGTACACAAGTGCTTAAAGCAGCATTGTTCATAATAGCCAAGAGGTAGAAACAACCCAAATGTTCATGAACTGACAAATAGATAGACAAAATGTGAATGTGGTATATGCATAGAATAGAGTGTTATTCAGTCATTAAAAGGAAGGAGATTCTGTCACATGCTACAGCATAAATGAATCTTGACAACATCATGCTATGTGAAAGAAGCCAGACATAGAGGACCACATATTATACAATTCCATTTATATGAAGTGTTTAGAAAAGGCAAATCCACAGAGACATAACATAGATTAGGGGTTGCCTAGTGGTAGATTAATGCTAGGGGAGGGAGCAGAGATGGATGAATTTGAGAGCAATTCATGGAACATGGTTTTTTTGGTGGTGGAGTGGTGATGAAAGTGTTCAGGTTGATTGTGTTGATGGCTACACAGTTTACTCATTTACACATGTTCATGAGTACATTTAGAATACATATATAAAATTCAATAAAATTCACGGTACAGTTGTTCTGTGAATGTATCAAAAACCATTGAATTTTACACATGAACTCTAAATGAGTACATTTTTATGACAGCTTGATTGAGATATTTTAGATTCCATAAAATGGATTCACATAGGGTACATTTAGATACATTTTATGGTATCTAAATACTATTATAATTTAGATACCGTAAAATGTACCCTAAATGAGTCTATTTTACAGTATCTATCTTAAGCAAGCTGTTATAAAAATAATTTTATTTGTCTTATTTTGATTTATAATACTTTCTGGCAAGATAAGTCAGTATAAGTACAAGGTTGGTCTCTAATGTTTTAAAAATGCTATAGCTTTGAGATGCTCACCTATATTTTTTGAAATTATTGTACATTGATTATGACGTAGATCTTTTCAAAAGATGGATGTATGAAGAGTTTGCAATTTTTAGGTTATGGTGGATGTGAGTTTTAGTTGAATACACTCATTATTAAGTTGTGATAAAGTGTCTTATTATCACTGGTAGTCAAATATTTAGACTCTTATGTAATTAAGATAACAATTTTTACCTTAGAAATTGCTTATTTTCAGGAAAAGTTAAATGGGAACACACACACACACACACACACACACACACACACACACACACATTAGATGGGATTGTTCAATGGAAAAGATCTAGAATGGTGAAACCACCCATGGGCCAGAATGAGATTCTGGAGGAGAACAACTCTTGAGTTTCACGGGAGTACCCATGAACATGAACAAATGAAAATTTCCTGCCATCCTGAGTAATTCATATAAGCCTGTCACACCTGTGGTGCGATCATGGACTATTTCACATCTTAAGTTACAAATGGATCTACAATAAACCTTAAAAGACCAATATTATGTACCAGTGTTGGTCACATAAGACCTACAATGTAAGGATTTTTAATGGAAACCTAAAACTGAAAGTAGTCGGCTCTTGAAACACAAAATCCAACAGTCCCTTGATTTCCAGAAAAGGAAAACATAAACCCCATACCAAGAATGACAATGAGGTGTCAACATGGTACTGAACTCCAGAATTGGCTGTGGGTTAAGGGAGTGATACAATCAAATAACTACTTGAAAGACTGGAAGAAGCCTGCTGACCTGGTCTCTTGTGTAATTTTGCCAATGCAGCTTCACAACATCACTAGGAATGAAAGCCCCAGTTGTGGCACATGGCCAGTTGCCCTGACTGGGCACTCTGGAGGTGATACAGGATGAGTGACAGCAGAACACTTCACCAGCTTCTGGATGGTGTGAGCAAATGGGGCTACCTCAATCAGGAAAGAAATAATAAACAGTTTAAGGGAGCTCTGAGGCTCAATTTTAAACAATCTGGCACAGTTGTGAACTGCTGAGAAACAGCAGCAGCAAACAGATAAGGCGTCTGTGAAGATGAAGGAGCTCCCTTTGAACAAAGGCTTCAGGCTGAGTTGAATCTATGTGGCCAACTCTCAGACGTGGGTTTGGCAAATAGTGTTTGCAGCTATAAATCAAAGCTCTGGTTTTATGTGGACAAAGTGTGGGGAGAAACCCTTTGCACTGGTCTTCTAAATTGTGCATGCGCACATCACTAGCATTGCCTTTTAACCAACAGAGAACAAACAGTAAATTCTGGGACTCTTTAAGTATTATTTTGATGCCTTCAGTATTGCCCATAGGGTGTTACATTAATGAGTTCTTCAGATGTATGAAAAAATAAAAATATTAAGAGAATTTGGGAGAGGACCAACATAACATCTCTCCACCAGAAATTTGTATTAAATACTCTTTTGTGACTAGAGAGATTTTCGAAAATGAAAAAAAAAATTGAGAAATTGGGCACTTCTCTTTGAAATGAGACCTCTGAGAATTGATCTAAAAATGATGAAAACCATTATTTGGCCATTATAGATCAAAAAGAAAGAATATAATTTTCAGACTCAGGTTAGCATTTTGAAAACAGTAAAACACATTTATATTCAAATTAAGTTCAAACATTTATTTGTTTTCATTTCTACAAAGATTTACATTGTATGAACTCTTTTATTGAAAAATTTCTTGAGCTAAGCAAAAAATCAAGGTCAATGTAAAGAATAAGATGGATTACCTGTATAGGTTATAATGTCCTATCCAAAAATAATTCTGCAGTCACTTTTCAGCCTTCCTTTCCCACTTAGTAGCTGGCTTCTTCTTTGAGGCAAACACTTATCCAAGAATGATTGAATAAGTTAGAGGACAAATCCTTAAAAAGATCCACCTTGCTTGATGATTTTAGAGGAGTCTGTTCTATTTTCCTTGCTGTCTTGTTTACTTGACCTTCTCAGTTCCTAAACAAGAATGGATTTAATGAAGAGAGGGCTTTTATTCATCACTCTAGTGACAAGTTCTTTGTCAAGGGACAGGTCTTTCTCTTAGGGAGGAATACTTAGGCAACTATCCAGAGAATTTGAAACTCAACTCTGCGATAGTCAAGATTTCCCAAGAGAAGTTTTTTTTTTCTCGATATTATGGTGTTACTTTTTCTATGATGAATTTTGCAAAGGCAAAGTGGATAAAAGAATCAGAGCACTTAATTATGCTTCAGGGGAAAAAAAGCAGTCTTTTCCCTTTGATAATTATCTCAGTTTTCAAATTAATTTCAACAATGGGCAATTGGTCTCAGGCAGAACTTTTAAATAAAATTGGAGGAAAATTTTAACTACAAATGTAAAAAATGCTCACTGCTAGGGTTAGTTATGGTAAAAGATAATTATTTGGGTGATAACTTGTACAGCAATTTGAAAGATATGTTTTATTTCTGTCCAATGAATATATGTACATAATTTTAAAGACAAATGCACTATAGAATGTAATATAAAGAAATATCAGTAACCCTGGTCCTGCATGTGGTTAGAAAGGATTTAGCTTTTAAAAGTATACTCTCTTCCCCTCCCGTAGGTGATTGCATTCTCTTATCTTCCCAATATAGCTATGTTAAAAATTCTACAAAATGGCCGAGGCGGGTGGATCACGAGGTCAAGAGATCGAGACCATCCTGGTCAACAGGGTGAAACCCCGTCTCTACTAAAAATACAAAAAATTAGCTGGGCATGGTGGCGCATGCCTGTAATCCCAGCTACTCAGGAGGCTGAGGCAGGAAAATTGCCTGAACCCAGGAGGCGGAGGTTGCGGTGATCCGAGATCGTGCCATTGCACTCCAGCCTGGGTAACAAGAGCGAAACTCCGTCCCAAAAAAAAAAAAAAAAAAAAAAAAAATTCTACAAAATTATTTTATTAGTCACTCCTCAGCCACATGACATCCATGACTACATTTCCTTTTTTTGGTAAAGCTTTTGAATTCCCTACAGTTGATAATTGCCTCTCTTTAATTTTTCTTCTGTTCTTTATGCCCTAGGGATTGTTTATCATTGCCAGAGATGTAACTCTCCCCTCAGTAGATTCAATGTAACAGGTAATGCAGCCTTCACGTGTGTGTGTGTGTGTGTGTGTGTGTGTGTGTGCGCGCGCGCGCGCGTGTGTGTGTGTGCGCATTTGTTTTATTTTTTCTTAGAGATATAACTCCTGGATCCTTCTGTACATTTGTACCAATTGCTAGTGGCTGTTTCTTTGGCTTACTACAAGTCATCATCACTAGATTACCCTTCTTTCTACTGTGTTAGACTTCTTGTGTTCTAAAACTCAATTTTTCACTTTCTTGGTATCCTCCCTTATTTCCATTAAGTACATCCTCCAGTAACTCCATGAGGCAGGGTGCCTAAAAGGTAAACTTTTTGAAGTATTGTTTGAAGATATTTGAACTTTACCTATGTACACTATTGATTGTAGTTTTCCCAGCTATACCATTCCATGTTGGAAATAATGGTTTTTAACTTTGAGGCATTCATTTCCCACATTACCAATCATGGATTAGTATGCCATGATTATTAGTGGCAAAGGCTTATATCTGCTTAGGAAGATATAGCACTACTGAGTGACTATGGCATCCTACAGGGAATTTCAATCTTTGGTCATACATTAAGAGCTCTTGGTTTTGCAGCTCCACAAGCCCTCTTTGAAGTGATCTGTATGTTAGAGATAATTTTTTTCTCATAATTTTGAAGGCCTCCTATCACTATGGTCTAATTTCTACTGTTGTTTTTGGGATACGTCCTAAAGTCATTTTTATTCATGACTCTTTATAGGTTACCCATTATTTTTCGTTCTGGGAGCGTTTTGCTTTTCCTTTGCCTTAATATTGTGAAATTCCATGAAGACATGCTCTTTCAGGAAGATAGGAACTTTTATTTTATTAGTCTGAACACTTGGAAATTTCTGTTATTCCACTCAGAAGGATTTTCTTGAGATTTTGATTTAATCATTCCCTCCCTTCTGTTTTCACTCTTCTGTCTTTCTGGTGCTTTTAATTAGTATACTGCTGGAAGTCCTGATCCTTTATACCTTGTATTTTGCTTTCCTTTTTTCCTTGTATTTTGTATCTCTGTGAGTTTTTCTTCTCTCTGAAATATTTATTAAATCGTGGCTTTCAACTCTTCTATTGAATTTTGTTGTTTAAATTTTTGCATTCTATTTTTATCTTCCAAGAACTTTCTATTGTCTGAATAATCCTTTTTAAATAGCATCCCTTCCTAGATGCCATTTCTTTTCTTACATCTCTGAGAATATTGTAGTTCTAAAAAGATTCTTTTCTGCTTTATTTGCTGTCTTGGTGTTCTCCTTTTTCTTTGTTTCAAATCAGTTTGTTCTTTTATATTAGACTTTTCTAGTGATCACATTGAAAACAGACATAAAAATATTATATTTATGGGTATGCCTTGTTAACCACTGAACTTCTATATAGGGCGATTGGTGGTGGCCCAGCTGTTTAGTTTCAGTCCTTTGTTTGTGTGTTTCTGTAGGTCCTTTCCCATGAGCAGATCAGTTTTCTTAGTTCACTGCTTTAGAGACATAAAAATCCAGTTGCTCATTTTCTGGAAGCTGAGTGATGAAGACTGCTGAATGTCTCAAGGTTCCATATGTCAAAGTTCACATAACTTCCCTGTTTGTAACATAGCCCCTCATCTTTGCCCTCAGCTGTATATCTTGTGAGCAACCTAAGATCCTCTCAGGTTAAATTCTCCAGAGGGAATGTTCGTCCAGGCTTTAGCTGTATTGGGAAAGGGATAATTGCAACAGTGAAGCTCAATTTTCCCTTTAAAAATTTAACAAGTCCTTCAACTTACCCTGTTTTCAGCCACTCTCACTCCCTGTTTAGAAGAACTTATTTCTGCCATTTCCAGAGCATTTCAGAGGGCTTCAAGGTGAACATCAATTTGCTTCTCGTAAGCCTTCTCCATTTTAGAATTTGATTGTAGTTTCCTCTGAGATTGGAAGTCAGTTACTGCTCATAATCTATCTTCCAGTTTCTAGATTTTGTTTTTATCTCTTGTATGTTCTGTCTCTGTTCCTATTCTCCTTGTCTTCCTGGGTTATCTTTCCTGTGTCTTTTATATTAAACTGTGATTTAAAAGGCAGTGGAGATAGACTGTGTGTTCAATATTCTTGCTTAACAAGAGGCCCTGACATTTGGAAATAGCAGTGTACTTCTTGAAAACTCTAAGAATTAGGGAATTCTCTTGACTGGCGATGTGGAGAGAGTCTCGTGCCTTCAAGTAACATAATTTTGCATTAAGTTAGAGATTAAAGCCATACCATGGACAAGATTTATTTTTAAAAAGGTAATTTTCCCATCAAGTGACAATCATGAAGAATCACAAAGACCTTGAAACTATGGTCAGGGTGTGGAAAATTTCAAGGATAGAGAAGAAGAGGGTTTTTTTTTTTTTTTTGTATCACACAATTTGTCTCAATATTCATATATCATGACAACCTCTTATTGTACAGTTGTTTTTATGAGTTTAAGAAGAATTTCATCATGTTTGATACAAAGTATCATGGGCATGGCTGCTACTTAATGCAGTTGGTCATTATGTTACTTACCACTGTGGGTTAACCTCAGAAAGTGTAAAAGAGACTCAAATTTGGCTATACTATAGAAAATGCCTCAAAAACACCTTTCTGGGAGGAGCCTAAAAGCCAATGAGATGGCAGTCTTTCTATTGAAATTCACTAGAAATATAAACAATGACAAAACTAGCCAGCTGTGTTGATGCTGGTTGATGTTACTTCCTGTGCTCTGACTACATTATGGGATGTGGCTGGAGGTAAGGGCTTTTCGGTCAGTGCAGCACCCTGCAGCACCCAGCAGATATGTGGCCTCTGGGCCCTCATCCCGGACTCCTGTGCTCCCAGTTTAGCTCCTCCACATATCCCCATACTCTATTCCTTCTGAACTCAGATCAAAACCTCAGATCAGGACCTTTCTTTTGGTTAGCATCTATTAACAAGGTATTGGAGTTGACTTGTAAGCTGATCCCTATTTGCCATTCTTTACCTGGAGAAAGCTGGAAACCTGAAGAAGGTACAATGTGCAAAAAAAAAATCATCCTCAGAAATAAAGATAATATGAAGCTCTTAAGATTTTAGAAAATTGGGAGCTGTAGACTAAGGCTTGTTGCTGTAAGAAAGTTTAACGTTTTCTTAGATTTTGTTTGATTTTCCGAAAGATATAGCCAGTAGGATACTAAAAGAAAAAAAAAAAAAAAAAAAAAACTGTCACGCAACCTCCAGGATAGTTGAAAGGTGAGAACCTTCTGAGTCACAATTCACAGCCAGGCTGGTAAATACATATTTCCTAAATTAGAGTGCCTCAGGACAGAGTTGTATAGTTGTACAGAGGATCCGGAATTTGCAACTATAAGAAAATGGTCAGTTAATGGACCAGCAGGTCTAAGGAGACTCTCAGTGGTCAAGATGAGGCTTAAAAGTGTATACTAATTACAGGATATATAAATGGATTCAACCGATTATTTGATCCAATTAAAATCAGCCATATTAAATTCCTTTAAACATAGGAAAGTAACTCTTCATACTGACCTTAAGCAACCCAAATATGCACAAGTTCAGTGAGAGTACACATGAAGTAACAACAGTATTGATATTAGTATTCATAAGTATGGCTTCTTGTTAAACCCCCGACAGGGGACTTCAGCACTTTCTGTCACCGGGAAGTTTCCCTTTCTCCAAAAGCTGCTCACAGCTGTGCAGGGTCTAGTTTTCCTGAATCTCCTGCTGTGCTTCTTTTTCTGTTTTGCATTTCTGTTTCTCATGGTTAATAATAATTACGTACTTGCTTTGCGCCAGATATTGTGATCAAAGCTTAACAAGCACCGTCTGGGTTAGTCTTCATACGGAGCTTATGACACAGGTGCCATTTTTCTCCTTGGTGTATATATGGGAGCACAGAAAGTCTGGAGTTGTTAAGCAACTAACCCCTCCACTGAAGTAGAGTGGAGTGGAACCTGGACTCACCAGTAGAGTTTCTCTAATGGCAAGCCCTGTGCTTTCCGTAACTAGGACGCAGAGGCCTGTTGATGAAGGCCTGTCCTCGTGGTCACTGCTACAGGAGGGAATGGTCTTGGGGCTGCTCTCACTCATCCTCATCCAAGCACAGCCTTTTCCACTCCTGACTGGCCTGACGCATAGTCAGACTGCAGGACCCCTGAGACAACTATTCTTATGCCCTCACGAACCAGGCTCCTAAGTCTTTCATTAAAAGGGCTCTTAATCTTCCTCTAATTCTTGCCTATCTCCTTCGTATAAGCCCTAGGACTTAAAAAGAAACAACGTGGCAGAAATGCATTCTCTTTACTGCCTCAGTCCAAAATTAATGCTGTAGTGAAAACAGACATCTAGCTCATAAGATCAGAGAACAGCAAGCCCCTGAAATTCCATTTCAGACCCAGCTGGGGTGTTTTTCCTTTTATAAGTGAAACTCTCTCCACATGTATCTTCCACACAGCGGAAGTAATGGCAAACCCAGGGCGACAACCTGAGCATTTAGATCCCATGGGACAAGTAAAACCACCAGGAGAAGGGGAATGAACTCTAAGGAACTAAATCTAAGTACTTTTTAAATGGATTTTTGATGAGTATTGGGGCAATTTTGGAGAAGTTTTATGGAGGAGTTGGGTACAAATATATTGTGCATTTCAAAAGGCAGAATATTTCTGCAAGGAAATATTTTATTCTTGTAATATTATCTTTTTCAGGTGTTTCTAGAATAAGTCTCTTTAGAATGGTGATGAAAGGCCCCGTATTTAAAAAATAACAGTGATGCAGCCAGAACTTGGCCTCTCAAGTCCAGTGAGACCCTGCCATGCATGAACAGGGTCATGGCCACTCAGTTCCCACAGCAGAGACTGGTGGCCAAGGACAGGCTGAGATCTGCTCTATCTGCTCCTGTGCTGAAGCCACCTTAGTTCTAAAATCATTTTGTAGCTTTGGCTGAACACATAGGGGCTTCAGCCAAGTCTATGAGTATTGGGAGGTAGGTAGGGAGAAAAATTGTTTAAAAAGTAGCCACCGAAAACTTGAAATAAGGGTAAAAAAACAAGAGTCAAGATGTTAAAGAGAAAGATGTGACCAGGCATGGTGGCCCACGCCTGTAATCCCAGCACTTTGGGGATCGAGGCTGGTGAATCACCTGAAGTCAGACACCAGCCTGGCCAACATGGAGAGACCCTGTCTCTACTAAAAATACAAAAATTAGCAGGTACCTGTAATCCCAGCTACTTGTGAGGCTGAGGCAGGAGAATCAGCCTTAGTTTGCAATGAGCCTAGATCGTGCCACTGCACTTTAGCCTGGGTTGACAGAACGAGACTTCATCTCAAGAAAAAATAAAAATAAAGAGAAAGATGTGTTAAAATAATAAACACTTGTATAAGAATTTCCCAGTAAAGAGAAATTGATGCACCTGAGCACAAAATGTGGGTGTCAGATAAAGAGGTAAAACAGAAAGAGTTCAGGATGACTTTAACAGCTTTTATTATTTAACAGAAGAAAGAGTATCAATTTATCAAGAAAGATCAACTGTTTCCTGTGACATCATTTTAAGTTCACAATTTCTTGTTACAATTATTTTATTGTATTCCTTTTTATTCCCGGTTGCTTTATTAAATCATGGA